CAAGCTTTTTCTCTCATAGGACGCCTTTCTAAATTTTTGATTATTCCACACTGATTCTCTGGCACAGACCATTCCCCTTTCTTCACTTCTAGTGACATCATCCTCAGCCTTTGCTCCCATGGTAAACTCCACACAGCTTCTTTCAGGGGGAGTTGCCTTACCTCCCACAGATTATCCTTTTGGAGAAAGATAAAGCTAGTTACATTTCTTGCTTCCTACGTTAGGCCAAACTCAAGAAGTGTAGGTCACTTCCACTACAGCCTTGCCTTTTTCCTCTGTCACCAAAGTCAGCCTCAGTTAACCTTTAACCTTTAGATTTATCCCAGCAATAGTGTCCCGCAAACACCAAGAGCCTTGAGGTCACTTCCATTTCACTCCACCTTGTGGAAGCATGTGCTAAGTATATGAGTTTCTGCAGTTCAGAGTATTTTCTGCTGCAGGCTGAGATGCCATTTTCCTTCCTGTGGACTACTCCCACTATTTATTTGTGGTTCCTTTGAGGAATATGTAGGGAGTAGAGACCTCAAGAAAACACTCCCTGCTAAACTCTTCCAAGAAATTCATATTCCCAAATCTCCTCTCTGATTATGATGTCTTTATATGGGACATTGAACCAGTTTCTCAGCTTCAGTCTCACAACGAAAGTTTTAGATATGGTGTAGCCCCTCTTGGACAAGTAGGCACTTATAATCCATGTCTTTAGTTTTGACACTTCAGCTGAGATGAGGACAAGTTCTACCATATTTCAACCAGATAAAATATTTGTCCTAGTGAAGGATACACATTCATTCAGTCAAGTAGTATTTATTGAAATTCAACTATGAACCATTATTCAAAATATGTAAAGTTCGTAGCACATTGTAGAAATTTGAACATATATCACCATTGTAATTATAAACTCTAAAATTGCAACTCTCAGATTATGCTGGATTCCTATATCCTGTCTTCTTCTCTGTGTTTTCAGTAAATATTTAATTCAATCCAGTGAACTTAAATATGTTTCTCTATGCTAGTGATTTCCAAACTTATACCTCAATCCAAATATTTCAGCTTAATATATCAGTTCTAACTTGACATATCTTCTTGACTATCTCACAGGTATTTCAAGCAATGTTTTCAAAATGAAACTCTTAATACACTGCCCTCTTCTGTTAACCTATTTTTCTCCCAGACTTCTCCATATCCACAATTAGTACTACCATCTATCTGATTGGTTAGGCCACCTGTATTTGATTCTTCCTTCT